CGATTCGGGAATATTTGTGATGTACATGGGCTAGGAGTGGAGAGATTTGACAAGAGCGCTTTTTCATAATTCGAAGTTTGTGTGGTGGGTCGGATTCACTAAGGCGGTAGACTTCTGGCATCAGAGGGTTGTGTTCGATAGCAGCAAAATAAAGGGTGAGTGGTGTGCTTGGGCCAGTGCTTCTTGAGCCCGATTAAAGGACTATGGGCTTGGCCAATTTGACTCACCAAGTACTGCTGGCAAAAAGGTCAGCAGCCAAATTACCTTGATTCATAACCAATTTATTATTAGTTTACTATAGCAAATAGTCAGATAAAGACGCCAAGTATGCACAATCGCTTAGTAAAACTTGTTCTGCATTTTAGACGCTGAATACATTTCGCTTCACTTCGACGAGTGGATTACTATCTCCCCCACAAATGATGCCCCTAGTAAGAAAGCAAACGAGATCTACAGCATCGAGGCTCAAATTCACCTTCTTCCCTCCTCGAATGGGCGCGTGATTGAACTGACTAAAATGGCCTGGTCAAAACTTCCTGCAACCGCAAATGCTGACACCAGCATCGAGGAGGATGAAGTCTGTCGTCAACTCGTATTTCTCCATATTATTACTGATGGTAACCAGCTGCTGGTTGCCTCTTCCTCGGATGAAACCTCAGCCAAAGAGCCTTTGCTGTCGAGTTCTCTGTCGGTTTTTGTGAGCTTTATTTTTGTTAGATTCCTGTCGAACTCCAAAATTAATTGGATCCATTCAATCTATTCCCTGCATTACTGAAGGTTTCTTAACTGACAGTGCTTGAACCTTTCTTAATCTTGCTTCTAAATGCGATGAAACTAGATGAGATTTGCTGAGATATCGCCGTCGAGATTTTTCAACCTAAATGGAGAAAATTTGCACAGTTTAGGGCAAATAGTGATAATAGAGAAATTAAATTAACTGTTTTAATAGGTCGTAGTAAGAGGCTTGTGTCTTTGGGTTCGTTTTTTCACACGATCTAACAAATAGCTACTCTTTCACCCAGAATAGATCTCATTTCTGCCTCATTCTTTCCACAGCAGAAGTCAAACTCAGGTTCCACCTGTCCGATAGCACCCACGGCCCTCAGGCCAATAGAATAGGGAGCGAATTAACTACTTTAAAACTATATCTGTATGTAGTATATAGAGATAAGCCAAGTTAAAATTCTATTCAATTTTACCATACTACTGATGTGGCCATGGTAGCTTTATCGTGGCTAAGGACATCAACTAGTTTAAGTTCAAGTTTCAATATCCCTGGGAAATGCACTCATGGAATCGCCAAACTATTTAGTATACCAGCCAGAATATCAATTTGTAAAATGTATGATAACTATACTTCTCGCTAAAATAATCTGTAGTTTTAATTAAATTTTCTCTCCATTTTGCTAAATAATTGTATTAACCCATCTTTTTCACATAGGACCTTCCCCTCCCGCCTGTCATTCTTCGAGTAAGCGTACTGAGTCTGCCTGGAATGATACAGCTCAAGGTTATAATAGATGATAATAATTCAACAACACGGAGTACGTTCGCTCGCATTAGTGTATATTTATTCGTCTCATTTACTCTATGCAATTGACTCCCCTTTTTATATGGATTGCCAGTAAATAACATTCGAATTAATTCGAATTAATTAAAGAATAGGTATAACCTTGTCAATGAATTCCGCTGCCTCCAGAAGCGGCATTCCCCTCCACATTTGCCTCAGTCTCCATTTCATCCTGGCTTCCTCCCAACGGGTCTCTAAATAAGGATGGGCTGACTAAATAGCCCCTGCTTGGATCACT